ACATAAGATACCACCCCCCCTCTAGTGAATTAAGATACCACACCCCTCTTGTGACTTAAGATGCCACACCCCTTCGCGGACAGAACACTAAATTCTCGATAGTAAAACTCTGCGGCAATAACATCGGTGACGGTGTCCAACCGTCTCGTCGACAGCCTTTCGAAAACGCGTCATTTGGTTGTGGCATTATCGTACTATATTTTGCCGAACTTTGAAAATCGGTCTACTGGGTGTGGCAGGATTTGACGTTGACGTTCTCTGCAGGAGCTTTTCCTTTTCTTTTTCCCCCGTCCATCCATCGGTCTCTCTCTCTCTCTCTCTCTCTCTCTCTCTCTCTCTCTCTCTCTCTCTCTCTCTCTCTCTCTCTCTCTCTCTCTCTCTCTCTCTCTCTCTCTCCCTCTCAATCTCTATCACTCACCCCGATGCTCGTCTTCATCTTCTCCGCCGGGTCTAAGAGAGGCTGCGAGAAGAACGACCAACGCGGAATGACCCGGAAATCTTTCATACCGTGATCGCTAGAGTAGAAACTACTGGCGTCCCCTAACGAGCCCCCCCGACTGCCTTTTCTCTGCCGGCCGCTCGCTTTACCACCGCCGACACCGCCGCCGGTGCCGCCGCCGTTCGGCACGTTTCTCCCAGCAGCCCTAAAAAAATAAAAGGTTCAGGGGTACAGTAGGGGGTCAATGTTGGGGATAAGCGTTGCGGAAATCAATTCAAACCTCCTGATGCGCCAGAGGCGGGTGACAGCACCTGAAAGGAAACAGTTATACAAATCGAAAAGGCCCTTTGCCTGCTATAGACACGACCCTGAATGATGTCCATCTACGAGACATGCATGATGTCTATGACATGCATGATATCTATGAGACATGGATGATGTCCATCCATCAGACATGGACGATGTCCATCTATCAGACATGGACGATGTCCATCTATCAGGCATGGACGATGCCCATCTTATCTATCGATCTGCACTCACCAGGACATAGACCACGACACGGCCGGAAGCGTAACCCTCCTGGGCTTCGTCGTCTTGGATTTAGTCGCTGCTGCCTGGCGACCCTTCACCGACACCGCCAAATCATCATCCACCACCGCTGCTGCATCGCCGTTGGCGTCAGCTCCACTTGTATTCGAGTGGGCCGAGCTATTTACAGACGGCCCTCGGCTATCGTTTTATTTTCGTGCATCAAGTACATCAAGCACATGAAGCCGCGAAAGGAAGAAGTGTAAGGGTTACAATGTAGCAAGCGTCGAGTCATTGACCACGGAAACGCGGGGCAACTGATTCTCGCACTCGAGCGGTCGTGGAAGGAGGGCGCTATGATTTGATTGGTCGGGGGGCAAGAAAAATCGTTCACGAAGAGGGCGCGACGGTGGTTGGTCGAGCTCAAGAGCATGGATTGGACCGCAATGGTTGTGAGACAAAGGCAACGGGCGAGGTGGGGACATAAGAACCACATAAGTGAGGATTCCAAACAAAAAAAAAAGACTGAGAGCCACGACACTGTGGAATGACGTCGGGTCGGGAGGAAAATGAAAGCCAACAGGGGACGAAGACCCCCGATCCCCTCGTAAACCCGACGTTGCGTTACAGGGTACGAGTAGCCCCTGTATAAGACTGATTGCCCTGCATGCCATTAGGTCTGGTGACATATATGTCATATTCAATTCGTATCATACATCCGAATAGCGCCGCATGCTCGGTATATGGCCGGCCAAACTCCTGGACACCAAAGAATGCGGCCTTAGACACACAGACCAACACAAATGGTTGTACCACGTTTCTCCCATATCGACTCAGAAGTGAGTTTACTTCCTGTTCGTTGTTCAAACACCGTAATACAGTCGGAGAGATGGCACCGGTCGGGGAGGTGGCA